ATTACTCGCCACTTGGCGGGTTTTCGAGGTCATTTCTTTGCGTTTCTGTGTATTATTCTGGATGTACTTAAAATAGTTGGTATACAATAAATTTTAGTTCAGAGAAACGTATTTTGGTCAAAAAATCCTTAAGGCTATAGACTTACAATTTTCGCCTGGCTTCGGCCAAAAATGATTTTACCTGCACTCAGTATAGGTGCCCTGAATGTGCTGCTTACGATCTGCTAACCCGTAATTTGATATCTGATTATAACTTGTTCAATGGCTTTTAGAAAGTGTTCAAATGATTTTAGAATATTTTAATTACTTTTTGCAATGCTAATTACTCGCTACTTGCGGCTTTTGAGGTCATTTCTGGTGTGTATTATTCTGGCTGCATTTTTAAATAGTTAGGCACATTAAATTTTAGTCTAGAGAGGAAAACGTATTTTTGGCCAAAAACTTTAAGGCTATAGACTTACAATTCGTCATTTCGGCCAAAAAATGGATTTTGACCGTACTCAGTATAGGTGCAATTCTGAATGTGCTGCTTATGATCTTGTTAACCAAAATTTACATTTTCGATTATAATTCTGTTCAAATGGTTTTTGGAAATGTTCAAAATGATTTTTTAGAATATTTTTAATTACTTTTGTAATGCTACTCATCGCTACTTGCGGCTTTTTGGAGGTGTAATTTTTGGTGCTTAGTATTATTCGATGTACGAAGAAAAGCATTAAATTTAGTTCAGAAAGAACGTATTTTGGCCAAAAATCCTTTAAGGCTATAGACTTTAATTTTTGCCGCTTCGGCCAAAAATGGATTTTGTTCAAAATCAGAGAAAGTAATTCTGAATGTGCTGCTTTAAGGACTCAAGTTAACCAAAATTGATATCTTGATTGTAACTTGTTCAAATGTGGCTTTTTAGAAAAATGTCTAAATGATTTTAGAATATTTTAATTACTTTGCAATGCTAATTACTCGCCACTTGTGGGCTTTTGAGGTCATTTCTTGGTGTCAGGTATTATTCTGGATGTACTTAAATAGTTAGTACATTAAATTTTAGTTCAGAGAGAAACGTATTTTTGGCCAAAAATCCTTTGCTGCTATAGACTTCAATTTTCGTCATTTCGGCCCAAAATGATTTTGTCTTTAAAATTTCAGTATAGGTAATTTCTGAATGTGCTGCTTAAGGATCTGTTAACCAAAATTTGATATCTTGATTATAACTTGTCTTCAAATGGCTTTTCTTTTAGAAATGTTCAATGATTTTTTAGAATATTTTAATTACTTTTGTGTGCTAATTACTCGCCATTGCAGGGTTTTTTGAGGTTATTTCTGGTGTTTGTGGGGTATTATTCTTCGATGTACATAAATAGTTAGGCACATTAAATTTAAATCAGAGAGAAAACGCATTTTGGCCAAAACTTTTAAGGCTATAGACTTACAATTTTCGGGCCAGTTTCGGCCAAAATGTATTTCTTCTTGTTCGGTACCCAGTGCAGGTAATTCTGAATGTGCCATGTTTGCTGATCTCTGTTAACTGCACCTGACATCTTTGATTTACAGGAATTTGTCTAAAATGGCTTTTAGAAAATGGTCACCGATTTTTAGAATATTTAACGCTTGTATGCTACTACCTTTTCACTTATGGGGTTTTTAGGCTTTGGGTGCTTGTGTATTATTCTGGATGAAATTAAATAGCAGGCACATTAAACTCCAGTTCAGAGAGAAAACGCATTTTAAAAAAACTTTATGCATACAGAGTACCTATACTTGGGTCAGGTTAGTACTGTACTGGGTACTTGGATGGGTACTTAGAAATGTTTAAATTTTGCTTGGGGTAGATAATGGAAAAGTACTGTGGATTTTGTTTTCCCCCTCAGGAGGTGTCCCTCATATTTCATAAAATCTCATAATTTGTAAGGGCTAGAGCCCCTGTTATTTTGAATTACTCGGTATGAGGGTTTTATTGTAACTGTTTTTGGTGTGTGGCCATTTTGCTTGTAACTATGTATTTTGATGGTTACTGTGGTTAGTCATTTCATATCTACCAGTAGGCCTAATCATGAATGGATTCTTTGATAACAAGCAGCCTATACCTACAATACTTTTGCTGTTTAAAAATATGTTACTTACTTTGGTGTTGTGCAATCCCAAATCTTCCTGAGCTACAGCCAATGCCATGATGGTCTGTCTATAACAGTCACGTTGAAGGTTTGGGCAACTTTATCGAAGGCTTCTTTCGTTGCCACCATCCAACTGTCCAACCTTCTGTCATTAACCACAGGGTACTGCCTAATTATATCTATTAAAACATAAATGGCTGAACGTTGCAATGGAGGCAATGTCTTTGATGGTGTTTCTGTGGAATTCATCACTATGGGAGAAAACCTTCATGAGTGGTGAAAATGTAGATACACTGCTTCCCGTCTAGGAACAGGGCTACCAACAGAGGATTTAAACTTTCCAGTGCAATGAATTTTTTTTATGCATAGTGGAGGAAAGGAAAATTCTTCAAATGGAAGTAACAATTGACAAGAAGAATTTATTTATATTTTTTAAGAATACCAGCATTAGTCTATTTCGGTGCTCAAAGTCACTAATCCAGTAATTTAGGTTATATTTTTATCAGATACAGTAATACTTCACTTGTTTACTTGTACAGGTTTACAGAAATAATATCAGGACAATTAAAAGCTTGAGGCTTCTTAACATAATCCAAATACACCTGCATGTGCTTGAGCTATGTGTACATTTTTTATTATTAAATAGCGAGGGGTTTATACAAGGCCAGCAAAAACACAACAGTGTGCCCTATGCCGCATCAGATCAGGTCCAATTTATTCAGTAAAATCTTTATACTAATTACATCGATTTAGCATGTGTATAAACAATGCAGGTATACAATATACAACATAGTGGGTATACATTGTTACGAACAACATTATATAAAAAAGTACCAAAACTGCATCGTATACAATAGTAAACAGTAAGGCAATTTGACCAAGGATAACCAACAAAGCCATAAGGTACTTAATTTCACCTGACGGATGAAACTGAAGGCTGCTGTAGGTTCCTGCAAAGCTGGAGAACAATACGAAGGAAGAACATGCAAAATGGGAAAACAACAAATAAGAATTATGAAGAAAAATGGAATTGCCTGAAGATTTGACCTTCCCCTAGCTTATTCCACCACTCTGATGCTAGGAATGAGTCGGGCAGTGTGCAGAGCCCTCTGGTGGCAAGAATTTGCACCACGCCAGCTCTGCCGATCGTTGGATCTCGGGTATCATCGAAATTTGTGGGGTATTTCCCCTATATGTAATCATCGGTTATGCCAATCAACTGTCAAGTATATGAACACATTTGTCTTCAGTCTCTCATTCATAAATAGGGACTAATTTTTTAATGATGTCACTTATGTAGATTTTATCAGATTAAAGATGCAATGGTAATTATGAACAATAATATTATGATTAGAACCAAGTGTACTTAAGGTACCAGTGATTGAGCCTAGTACAGTAAGACCTCAGATATCCAGAATGCATGAGGAATTGAGTATGCCGGATAATAATTTTTTCCGGAGGCTTCAGTTACTCTTATAAATACGTATCTCATACTCAGGAACATTATCATAGTAAATATATTATAAAAGGACCAGAAATGGAACCAAGGGCAAAGTGGCACCAAATTCAAACCAATTTTCTTGACTTTTTAAATGTGATTAGACTTTACATACTGGAAATTGAGCCCACCATAAATATGCCAGTTGTTTGAAAGTTCCGGATGGTTAATAGCCAGATATCTGCGGTTATACTATACTGTACATATGCTGTTAATAGTTGTTACCTTCACAACCCCAGGTTTACTCATGCCTGCCTTACTAATCTTCAGTCATTAAAATCATTAGACACCTAACATTACATTTAGCACTTCATTCTTACTTGTAATAAATGATGAATTGAAGAATAACATACCATTTTATGGCTGAGGGGACAGTAAGTGACCTGAGAGATCTGACAATCCTGCCATTGCCAGGGAGCTTCTCTTAACAATGAGAGACATCATCTGTGTGAATGAAGTTGTTGTTACAGGCAGTTCCTCACTTAAGTCAGAGTATTGAAACACTGAACTCTTAAATTTTTTTCAACCAGCTAGGGTGTTCAGGCCAAGAATTCAAACACCAGGAAGCTATAAAAGAGGGTCAAAACTTCAAACCAACTTAGTTGCAGCCACTATATAATTCTGCTTAAGGAAGGAGGAAGGGATTCCAGGATAACTGATTGAGGAGGTGCTTGCAGTAACAACAATGATCATATGCATGGTATGTCCTGCTGCTAATCAGTACTGTACTATGTAAACTTCCTGGTAAGGGCTGGATTACCAGAAGACATTAAGACGTGGTAGATCTAGCAGGTCACTCACTGAGGACCCATAAACCATAAATTTTGCTACTTCATCACATCAAAGATTCTCTCACACTTCTGAAAGCCACAACTTCTTATAACTCACAGAAATCACTTATAACACTCATAAGATGATTATAGGACCCAGAACATCATATACTGTATAGTACAGTCCTTAAAATCTTGAACATATCTCTAGATTTCAGCTTAAAAAAAAAGCTGAAGTTCACAACTCAGCTATCATACTCTAAAGATCCTTAAATCCAGGACTTTGTTTTAAATAGTAACACTTCTAAGAACCACGTAGTCCACCAGGTAGGCAACTGTGAAGAGCACCAGCAGGAGAAAGTTGACGACTCGCTTGATGTGTAAGGAGGAGATCCCGGGATCTTCATTATAAGTGCTGGACTCTGTTTGGGTCGCTTCCCCTTCCTCCACCATCTCTGCCTCAAGATGGTTGTATGGTTGCTGAGGAAGACCAAAGTTTTTAGTGTACTGTAGGTAAAATGAGTGACACTTACTAATTAATATCTGATGTACCAGCATGAACTAGTTGACCCAGCATGAACTAGTTGACCTAGCATGAACCAAGAGCCTAGGGATGAACTCAGAAGGCCTTAGGAATGAACAAATATACCCTAGGGTGAACTAACCTGTGGCATAGAGTTCCTGAGGACGGGGGCCGAGCTGATGGCGCCTATCAGCTTCCTACTAAAGTTGACGGAAGTAGTAGAAGAGCAACAGTTACCCTGGGAGGTGAGGAAGATGGTCGACAGCAGGGAGATGGTTGTGAGGATAAGTGTGCCGGAGTAGTAGCGCACTGCAGGGGGAGACAAACACCTCAGTCAAGAGATTCATAAGAGGCTTGACCCTTACACAGCAGCCATCATCAGTGGGTGTATGAGGGCAGAGTAAGGAATTTTTAGCCACAGTTTAGGGGTTAGAGTGAATTACAGATAAACAACAAGATGCCTCGGTGACAAACAAAATGGTGAATCAAGTTGTTAGCAATTTATTGCTGTCTTCTCAGTGAGTACTTGAACCCATGCCAAATGGGTTGTCCACTGAGTGTTATTACTATTTAACCATTGTCCCAACCATATTCTTGGACTTGAGATACTGTGGGTATGGTAATAAAATGGTATTATTAAGGATCATTCAAATACTGTGTGTTGAAAAGTTTATGTTCTGAATCTCACACCAACATTTTTCTAAGTTGGTTTTGTTGAGATAATAATACAGGGAAACTTCTATTTACAATATCCCAACTTAAGATAATTTGCATTAACGATGCTGACATTAAGACCACTCCCCTATTTGCAATGTAAATGAATTCGCATTAATGATGTTCATCATCCTTTACAGTGAGAGGACACTATTGTATTTTGTTTTGGTGACTTTGAAGTGATTATTACTGTTTTTTGTGACTGAAAAGTCTTTTGCCTTTGTTGTTATACATGTGGGTGTCTGACTGACCAGGAACCTATCCCTTTGAACCCCAAGTTATAATGAACCTGATTTATGATATTTCGTGCTGTGAATTTGTTTTCAGGAACCTAATCCCATCGCAAATAGAGGTTTACCTGTACATGTACTGTATAATTATGTGGTCTGGTTTTCTATTTCTAAAAACTGTATCAGGGAGATAGAAGCCTTATGAACAAGATTCTGTGAAGCAAGATTATTTACTTTTAGAACATAGAACTGTACCAAGTTAATGTATCATCCAGAACTGATGGGAGCTCGAGATTTTAGAGAACAAATGAACAGGACTCAGCATCAAATGTACCTTGAAAGTTCTTAATATTTAAAGCACACAGGTATTGTAGTATGGTAAATTACATAACATTTCCACACTTACCTACAAGAGGCACTGGCCCTCCATTGTCAGGGAGATAATTGAAGAGGGTAAAGTAGCAGCTGATGAGTACGCCCATAGCAAAGAGGTGCAGCAACATGCGACTGAAGAAACAGTCAAGAGGCAGGAAGTACGACACCAGCACCACCAGAATTATTACTGGAAGGTTAGATAATGAGAAATGAGCTAACAGTAGGGCTGATAGGTAACACGATGAGAAACATTATTATCAGTCTGTTATACAGAAGAGGACCACCAATACTATATTTTGCTGAAGGTTAGAAAAAAGTACTGTAATAACATGAATTGACAAAAGATTTAGTTAGATTAAATACCTTAAGTATTTAGAGTAATGGTCAATATTTATCCTATCTTCTCTCTCTCTCTCTCTCTCTACCTGGAGTAATGCTGGGATACCAAATTTAAATAAGGTTGTAAAACAGGGTGTCTACTGGTCTGGAAAACCTGGAAAACTTGGAAAAGGCAGAGAATTTTATTTGGGACTCGAAAACCTGGAAAAGCCAGGGAATCTTACAAATAAACCTGGAATTCTATATGAATTCCATTCGACTTCAAAATATTGTTATTTTGACAGCAATCTTACCATAATTGAACTTTTAGTAACAAATTCCAGTAAATAGTCCACTCCAATAACTGAATCGTTTGTGTACCTGTCATATTTCATGTTTGCGATCAAATAACCAAATATTACAGGTTATGCCTACTAATTCTTCAGTGAGTATATTCAAAGATGAATTGTTCTCATAATTAAGTGGATTATACCACATATTAATCATGATTCATAAAGGTGGATCAGGATTGTGATTTTTTTATTTTTGCCGGATTTCCGGCTTTTTCGAACGTCCAGGTCGACCCACGTGAATCACACTAATCCGAGGAGAAAAATATGGAGGGGGGGGGGTCAAGGTCTTTTCCCATGTTCATCACTAGGCTTGGGGGGGTTGTGAAAGGGTCTTCAATTTCTTGATTAATATCATTTATATCATCTTTAAATTTCTCAATAATTTATAGTACATATTATTGAAAACCTCTAATTTTGCTATTCTGTCATAATAAATACAGAATTAATGTACCTGGAAATTTTCAAATTTACACCTGGAAAACTTGGAAAAGCCAGGGAATTTTGTTTTGTCTGGCTAGTAGACACCCTGTAAAAATAAACCAGTCGTTGCTAAGAAGACTTCCTTCACTTATTTATCCACCTGTGGTCAATAGTATGGAACTAGAATTAGTCTGCTTGTTCATTCTTTGTCTTTAGGTTCAACACAGGAACCTTAGATAGCATTATTGGTAGAGGGTGTTAAGACTGTCACCCTCCACTAATAATGCCATCAAAGGTTCCTGTGTTGAACCTAAAAACAAAGAATGAACAAGCAGACTAATTCTAGTTCCATACTATTGACCACAGGTGGATTATAATTAAATGATGTCTTCTTAGCCAGTTGGGTTTGTTTTTATAACGGTATTCTAACTTGGTTACTCAGCATTACTTCAAATATCTCTGGAACTGAACTAGTGTTACTGTAGCTCACTAGTTCCCTGGTACCCAGACAACTCACCTAGTGTGGTCTGGGTGATGTAGGTGGCGTGGGCCTTGGCATGGCGCTTCACGGTGAAGGTGTAGTCGATCTCCACATAAGAGTCGTGACCCTCAATGTTGATGAGCGACCGTGTGGCTGAAACCTTCACCAGAGTCCACTGTTTGTTCTCCTCATAGTTATTCACCATTACCTGCAATACCTCCACTTACTCAGAGTCAATTGGGGAGGGCACACACACTTAGTACTGGACACACCCACATGCACATAAACTTAACTTATTAGTTGGTTGGGTGATTAATAGTTTCAAGGTATCACACAGTTAGCAGGTACTGGGTAGATATAAGCTTTTAAGTGAGCCTAAACATGTGACAATGATGGTGTAGCCCGAAGTTAAAATAATTCAACCTTGGTACTGCCACAACATTTGCTGGTAGATTATTCCACAAGTTCCCTCTACACCACTTACCCCATCTGTTTCATTGGTGGGCATGACCTGGATGTCAATCTGCTCGCCGTGGTGTGCCCAGGACCCCACCCTCACCAGACAGTCATGCTGGTCACTGGGCCACTTTCTCAGGTCCAGGTCACACTTGACAACAAAGTGTGTGGGTGGGAACCAGTAGGTCTGACCCACACTGTTGGCCAGCACCGGCACATGACCAAATGGTTGCACATCTGAACCCTGCGCACTGTGGGTGGAAATGGATTACATTTTTCCTGCTTAGAGTTACACACACACACACTGTAAACAAGGTGTGCATGAGATATTTTCCAATACATACTGTATTTGTGAAGGAGCTTAGAATACTGAGTCATCCTTAAACAGTACAGGAGGTCCCCGACTTACGAACGCCTGCCGATATGAAAGGGGTTAAACCTGAAATTTACAGTATTTTATTTACCTGATGACTTATATTTTACTTTTATTTACTGTATTTTATCATTTTATTTCTTCTTTTGTCTTATATTAAGTGATTTTAGATGTATATAAGGACTTAAGCTATGATATACTGGGATCTTAAATATTGTTTTGTAAGTACAGTATGCACATCGCATGTGTTCAAACTTACGTAGAAATCCAACTTAAGAACTTCCTCGGGAACGGAACCCGTTCGTAACCCGGGGACCCCCTGTATTAACAAACAATTTAATGTTCATTAGATGTAGATGCAAAATATTGATACATATTACACTAGGACCAAAGAGGATATAATACAGAGATTAGACAGATGCTGTGAATTTATCTGGATGTAGGTTAAGTAATAAAGAAAAGATTACTTGAAAAGCATCTGCAATAATAGTGAAAGCACTGAGGCTATGAGATCCAAAATGAGGAAAACTCGCCATTGCACAGTATAGTATATTGAACATCATAATTATAATTTTGTACTATGACATTCAGGGTTACTAAAATACTGTACAATACTAATGGGTCAACCTGTTATATAGCGTGATGTCTGGCATCCAGATGTCGTCATCATCGAAGTGGAGGCTGTCGATGTTCATGTAGTTCTTGGGTTCCCATTTCAAGTACTCATCTACCCACGTCTGATACAATGTTACAGTTAGGCACTTAATATGTGTGTGTGTGGTTCCTAAAAGGATTTGCATTTTTTACATTAAATTGTTGTATAGTGAAAAATGCAAAGAATGAATGACAGATTGTACAAGTTCCTGCTAAAATCAGATGTACAGTACTCATGGTTCAATGATGGTTTTTGTCAATTGACTGAAGGTATATACAATACTGTACTGTAGATGGTGGTATCATAAGTATTAGTACCAGTACTGTATAAGAAAAATAAAACTTGAACACATTTGACAGGTTGCAGATTTTTTAATTACGGATAAAATGATAACTATTGGAAAATCTTCAGGTGGTGCTTCAAAACTGTGACACTATTATGCAAAAGTCCATCAAAAATCTTTATACCGTACAGACTATGCTTTGTGAAGCTGATTGCATTACATGAGCCAATACAGATACAGTATTCATAAATCATTAAATACACTGCAGCTTAAAAGTGGACAAGGCTCTAAAGCAGAGGAATATCCAAAGGTAAAATAAAGGAAGGTACAGGTCTAATTCTGTAAATGTTGGGAAAATAACAATCAACACAATCTGTCTTGAAAATTACAGTAATTCGATGAAATGTGATACTGTACTGTGCTGTTCTGTACCTTTCCAACAGTGTTGAAATTATAACGTATTATTTTGCATCAACAACTTAGTTCTTAAATAGTGCACCACATAGATTAGATTATAAACTAGACTTCAATAATAAAAAATAAAGATATCTCTGGTAACTGTAAATTGATGCTCATATATTTGCATAGTGGAGCTGTTTATTTGATGTATGACATATAAATCAAGATTTGTTTCAAGCACTGTATAGTACAGTATACCAGGGTTGGCTGATTTAAACCAAAAGAGGCTAAAATATTTAAAAGATGTTAAAACTAAAATACTAGTAGCATTAAAAAACCTTTTTGTTTTGTTTAATAAAAAAACAATGGTTTTTGCCATCCCTGCTTTGCTTGTATGTTTTAAATCACCTTTATATAATAGACATTTTCTGAAAGGTATAGACTATCTTTACTAAATATGCCTGACCTAATACCTTGGTTTTTAACAACTGGGGTCCAAAAATATATTTTGTTTAAATTTCATACACCTCCTTTGAAAATGAGCTTTGTTTTGGGTGGCCTTTCTCTGAGAGAAATGATGAAAATGTCCCCCAAAAATGACCAGCTTGTCCATGAAGAGCATAAGGGGACCACCTGCGAGATTGCAAAGTGGTTGGACCTTTCATATGGAAATGTTAACCAAATTTTGACTGATGACCGGCAATTGGCTCCTTCACCAGGACAATGCACCTGCTTACACTGCCCTTACTGTGAATGATTTTCTGGTGAAGCATGGCATCCCACTGGCCCCCTCACCCTGCATACTCTTCAGATCGGGCCCCCTGTGACTTCTGACTGTTTCAGAAGTTCAAGTTAAACCTCTAGGGGAAGAAGATCATGGACAGAATGGAGATCCAGGACACATCACAGAAGGTGTTCTCCAGCCTCACCAACAAGGACCTTCAGATCTGTTTCCAAAAGTGGGAGGAGGGGATTCAGCACTGCATTGAGGCCTCTGGAGAATATTTTGAGGGTGACTAAAGTTTCACTGTAATAGCTTGAAAAATAAAGATTTTATGAAGCCAGTCCGGGAACTTTTTGATCACACCTCGTATACCATGTTTTACATATTAGTAGTGTTCCCCAGAGGCCCAGTAATGTTTTATAGAGGAATTTAAGAGCAGTGTGGTAGCTGGTATGTGAGACAGAAGGTGTGGTAGTTAGTACTTAAGGTAGATGATGTGGTAACTGGTACTTGAGATAGAAATTGTGGTAATTGGTACTTGAGATAGATAGACAGTACAGTACTCACCATGATAGACCAAGCATTCACAGACAGCTCTTGGTGTAGGTCATCCTGCCATGGAAAAATAACACTTCTTGGTTATTTCATGTAATAATGACTTGATTCTTGTGAGTAAAATATTACATTACTCTCTGATAGTCTTTAGTTTTTACACTACATAAAAAACAATCTTGAAAGTTCCATCTTCACCTCCAAGATCATATCGATCTTCTTTTGATAACAACACTTCACCAGTTCCTCAAAAACCACCCCTACTTTCACTCTTTATTCATACTTACTGTAACTATCATTCCTAAAGACAGTACCGTACACTACTGTACTTGAAATATTTAATATCCTTTGTATCCAAGTCTCTTATCATAATTCTATATTTGAATTAACAAAAATTTTCTTCTCTATTCTGTTTGGTTCATAAATATCTCAAATACAACACACGCACACACACATGTACATACGTCACTGACACTAACCACATCAATATGGTTGAGGGAGAGGGCGAGGTAGACGGTGGTGTTGTGGTCGTGGTTGTGAACTGGACGTGAACCTTTGTTATAACCCTTGAGTTTGTCCTTATACAGACGGCTGATCCAGTTGTCTTTGCTGGCATTGTCCTGATCTGCTGTGAAGGGGTTACCTGTGGGAGATAGGTCAGTGGGTAGGAGATGGATCAGTGAGATAGTGACTCATTATGTGGGTGAATGTTTAAGATCAATGTGAGTTATCTATTTAACTCATAAATATATCATTATAACACCAAACTGGTATATCACTCCTTTATCATTATAAGTTATAGTCATAAGGTCTGCGTGGTATGTGGACTGATAAAATACAGTGTGTGTGTATATATATATATATACCGTATATATATATATATATATATATATATATATATATATATATATATATATATATATATATATATATATATATATATATATATATATATATATATATATATATATATATATATATACACACACACATTCGAGTTTGGATTTACGCGGGTTTGGTTAACGCGTTTGGTCATTTACACGGTGCCTTGCCAGAATCGAAATGCTTTAATTACTCGGTAAATTTGGTCATTTACATGGTGAGCTGCTGGAGGGTCCAGACGCGCTGCGCTATTTTGGATTCAAGCGGCCCAGGCGACCACAAGCGGCACGAGTAAGGTTGCGCAGTATGTCGCTGTTGCGTTATCGGTGACGTCATATGACGTATCGGACTGTGATTGGGCCACGCATCCTTACCACCCACGCATTCCCTCCGCCGCTAGCTGTGATTGGTCTAATGTAACATGACGTGCCCTGCCACCAGAGGGTAGAAGTCGCTGACCTAGCAGGGCCTGTCTCATTGTTCTCAGTCCGCTTATACAGTAATCTCTTGTGCCCGCTATTCCCCTCACAACTCACAATGGCTTCCGCTGGACCCCCACCACCAGAGAAAAACCTTGAATTACTTGGACCAAGCCATGATAATGTGAAGGAAATCATCGAGTTGGGGGAAAAACTTAAGCTCATCCTTGACAACGACCCAGACAAGCATCTGTATGAAGTGTCTAATAACCATCTGACGAAATTTATGGAGCCGTATATCCAGATCTATCTCGACAACATCAATGCTAGTTGTCAACGTAGTATTGAGGACTTCCTCGCCTGCAACCCACCACAACCACAGCCAGCCCAGGTCAGTGATAGTGATATTGACAGTGAGGATATGGACTTTGAGAGGTTTGTCTGGGAGGCCCTGCAAACCTCTGCGAGTAGTGAAAGTGATTCACCGGAGAGCAACTAATCTGCCCTCTGCCTCGGAACCAGCTGCCATCCACTTATGCCGACCCATCTCTTCTAGTAATGTAAGTGTTAAACCTTGATTTTTCTTTTACCTGGTACAGTATATTATTCTCTTATTGATATTTATCTTCTATATTATGTGTGTGTGCATACCATCATAAAATTAAGATACTATTTTTACTACAACGTATGTATTGTGTCGCAAAAAGTGGAGTTTGGGGGTCGGCCCAGTCTCTATTTCAATTAATCCCATGTGTTCTATTATTTCATTTACGCGTTTCTCTTTTTACGCGGGCCTCCACGGGTTCAATTGACCGCGTAAATGCAGACCCAACTGTGTGTGAATTACATGAAAGCACTTGGGAACTTCATGTTTTCTTTTTCCTTGTGGTTATCAGCATATACCTGGATCACGCTCACCTACAGTGATTTATTTGCATATATATATATATATATATATGTATTTTATCAGTCCACATACCACACAGACTTCCATATACATGCAAGTATACAGTAATACCCCGATTTACGCGGTCAATTGAACCCGCGGAGGTCCGTGTAAAACGTGTAACGTGTAAATGGAATAACAGAACATATGGGATTAGTTGAAATAGAGACTGGGCCGACTCCCAAACTCCACTTTTTCCGACACAATACCGACACAATACCTATGTTCTAGTAAAAATAACATCTTAATTTTATGATGGTATGCGCACACAATTAATATTTAAGAGAAATACAGTCGCCAGGTTAATGTCCATTCAAATAATGGACTTAACCCCCCCCCCCCTCTTCCCACGCTCGCTGGCTCCTCCCTCTTTGAGAAATGTTTGGGTGAAAACACTAGATTTTAAGGTATAGTAATAAATAATACCTCAGACTAAAGTTAGGATAATATAATTGACATTGCTGGATTCCTTGCAAGACCAGGAATATTTTGAATATACACATCATATATTTTGCTCAAAAGATACCGTATTTGCTTTGTGTAAATAAAATTCTTACATAAGATCTAAAATTTGTTTGTCTAATGTAAAATCCCTGATGTTTATATTTAAAATGATCATCATATTGTAAGAATTCCAGCAATGTTAATTATATTCTGGCTGGGTAATTTGTATGAATTTTATGAGCTAAATAAAAAAATTATACTGTACTTCACCCGCGTATATGAGTAGATGCACCGCGTAAATTGGGCATTCCAGTTCTGGCGGGGATCTCGTAAATGTGGAAACACGTAAACGAGAACTCCGTAAACCAAGGTATTACTGTACATTCAGCAAGTGTATAGACTGCAGGTACTGTATACAATACAGACAGACCTAATTTGTTTTGGAAAATTTTCCAAACACATTATACCCGAGTTCTTCATGAAGAACTTGTCAAAACAAAAGATACACTGGTGTTATATTTCACCCATATACTTGTAGAATTTGTATGTATATATATAAAAAAAAAAAACCATACACATATACTTACTGTCTCCCAATGAGTGATGAACCAGTAGTATTAAAATGACAAACCCCTTCATTGTACTTGTTTTATATTAGCTATATGTATGTATATGTAGTTAGATGTAAGCATGTAATATACATATAGTATATATAGTATATATAGTATATATGGTTGATGTATATGTAAGTGACTAGAACAACACAGCACTTGGAAGAGAACTGAGGGAGAGAGAACCTTTCAGTATGGAGGTCGGGAGCTCGAGTCTTCTTATCCCAAAATATTGTAGAGGAAAGTAGATCTTATTGTCGGGTGCCATTATGGATATTTTAGTCCTCTCATTGCCTTCCTGGGTTTATCACTCATGTGTCGATGTAAAATGTTATCAGCTGTTATAATCTTATCGTGTTGTACTTGGGGTCTTGATGGGCTTATCTGGTGATAGATATCTTTCACCTTCCTCGTGTTAAGGCGAGGATATAGGGTGGGGAAACAATAGATGGTTACAATAATGATACGATGCTGGTATACAGGGGTGGTGTTGGTCAGGTCTGGTCTTGAGTAAGCTTACAATGGTGTGGTCACAACACTCTGGCTTGGTAACAGTAATTTACAGTATGCTCGACATTTAAATTATGTGGACAGTAAAATAATGCTATCAGGCTCCTGTATACAGACTCATGTGTGATTTCAATGAGTCACTGCAAAGAGAGTAAGAGACTGACTGCCTGCTAACTATCTGCTAAGGATAAAGAGAAAATCTCATTAAATTAATATTGTTTACTTCACATCTATGATACAAAACTAATACAGAGTAAATGTACATACATATATATATATATACATTAGGTCGCCATCCGTGTTGGCCACGGTGATGACGACACATGGTTATATACACAATGCAACAGCTTTATATCCAAACTAACCTGTGGTAATAATAATAATAATATAATAAAAATAATAATATTAAATAGTAATAATGTTCCAGTAATAATAATAATGATGATGAAAATAAAAAACTTTTCCCCTACTACATCTACAGTACTACTTTTGGTAAAGGTGTCTTTTAGGCTCTCACTCAACAATAGTTTTTCTTCTACTGGATATTCACGAAAACATTTGTTATAATGCATAGAATAAAAATCCAATGGGGGAACAGGGAAAAAATTAATTCAAATTTTCTAAAGAGCCAGCAAGTACTACTACTAATACTGTACTACTATAATAATAATAATAATAACAGTTTATATTATTTATGGTGAATTTCAGATCATTAAGCCAAGTGCAGAAAAAGTTAGCTTAGTGATGCAACACTCAAAAATAATCAGTGAGTTATTAGAACACTTGAGAAATACCATCTTGTGTCTCTTTATAATAATTTTAAGTCTTCAAATTTGGTAAACAAGAATCCAGAAAATATTGTAAGCTTTAATTTTACCTTTTTGGGGGTGAAATGCAAGACTAGGAAGAGAAGAAAAGGGGGGGGGGGGGTTATTATTAAATCATAAAATGAACAAAATTCCACTGGATAAAACCCCACCACAAATATGATAAAAGTTTGATTGAGTTTCCTTTACTTTGATGGCAGGATTTTGTACAGTGGGGTTTTGACAAGAAATTTTTCTTCAATGAGATTTTATTAAGTGGGATTTTTGTTTAGTTGCATTTCCTCCTCTAACAGTGAAACCTGATACACTCCACAGTACACCCAGTGTTAGTGTACCTATGCCACCACTGTTTCTCACCTTCACTCACCCCCTACATCACTTCTTTGTCATTCATCTGATGCCACCTACACCCACATACATCTACTCTCACCTCCAATTTCATTGTCTACACCTTCTTCATCTACTTATCTACCTTTATGTACTTCCTACTTTCACATAATCTACCTTTATGTACTTCCTACTTTCACATATACAGTATGTCATCTCCACCAATACATCTGAATTTACTCCCACTTACCTGAACCTACTCTCACCTACAACGTACCAGTACTATATTTCCTTACTCCCACCTACACCACACTCACCTCTTCCCATGCATGTACCCTGACCTCTACCTCTTACACCCCCCCCCCATTACCTACCTCCACCTCTACTTCCTCTCCTTAACATGCACCCCCAGTGTTGAAACATGTCTCACTGTGATGATCAGCCTTTGCACTCTTTCAATTCCCCGATCATGTCCAACTTGGCAGGTCACAGCACATATAAGGTGGTTGTCATCCACTAGAAAATAGTCTGCCTAGTTGTTTTTTTACAAGCAAATAGCCCCCATTACCCACTAGCTCATGTTCCCCTGCTATATTGTGGTCTTTATGGCTGGTACAGAGACCTCTTCCTCCTTCATACCCTGATATGGCAACTGCTTATACAAAGGGGCACTCTATCTATTGATACCCCTTTTGCTAGTGGTGCCTCTTCAGTTATTGGTGTTCCTTTAATAAGTGGTGCCCCTTGAGCTTATAATGCTCCAACTGGCTAGTAGTCCCCCATTATGTGTGATCTTACACTAGGTAGTGGTTCTGCTGTCTGGTACAGGTCCTCCTCCGTCAGTCCCCCTAGCTTGATGGCCACCAGCAGGAGGTGGTTCGTCGGTGGGGCTGAGGTGCCACTTGCGGACGTGGGCCTTGAGGTTGCTGCTGTCAGCAGTGCGATAGTGGCAGGTGAGGCACACATAGGGCTTCTCACCGGTGTGGATTCTCACATGGCGGTTGTAGTTAGATGAGCGATCAAAAGTCTTGCCACAGTACTGGCACATGTAGCGGCAGCGACCCCGCCCACTACTCCCATACAGCAGGTACTGTGGACACAACAAATTCATATTAACAGTTATATCAAACTCAACTTCAACAACAACCACACAAAAATGAAAATTATTGTGCTGAAGATAAAAATTAGTACAGTAGTGTACTGTATGTACTTTGTGTTATAGGGACAACATGAAAACAGAATACAGGTGCCCCTCTACTTAAGAACGTTCAACTTACAAACTTTCAGAGATATAAACATCATCACTGAGGGGGGTTACCTGCCAGAACAGGTGTTTAATGTGGATGAGACTGGATTATTTTGAAGAAAATTCCAGATAGAACAAACATTACCTAAGAGGAGAAGAGTGAGCCAGGTTTTAAGGCTGTATTAAAGGGTATAGCTGTACTAAATATCCATAATTTTTTAATTTTTTACAATACGTTTGGTATCTACAAGAGTAAAGTTGGACTTACAAACAAGCCTCGAAGAATGTAACTCGTTCATAAGTAGAGGATCACCTGTATGATGACTTTTTAGCCATAATGATACTTTATGGCACACAAGGAGGGTTAGGGGAGAACTTTCTTTAGTATGGATATTTCAGTAGCAAGATTTCATTCAGACATGTTTTTTATGCAATACTGTAGTGTACTCCCCAGGCTGCAGTCACCACAATGCTCCCAGAAGAAAAATTTATCACATTAATTTCTAAATCCTGATTCTTGCAATGTGAGAAGGTATCTAACTTGTTCATGTGAATTTCAGCAAAAAGTACATTGAAACACCAAGTAAATTAACGCTGATGTTCGCTTCTTACAAAATACAGGACCAGGTACAGCATAGCGAATACCTGGGGCATATCAAACACATCACACTGTTGATGAGTGTCTGGTAATGTGCACATGTCTAGTATTGTGATTAATTACTGGAACAGTAATAGAGTATACTCTCGATTTAATGGAATCTGATATAACAAACTCTCGATTTAGCAAAAGGGATTTTTTATATTATTTTTTGCTTGATTTCATGAACTAATTTGCTAAATCGAGATTAATTCCGTTAATACGCTCACACCTACGGAGACACCTCGGATACATGATACAGTAAAACCTATTTCAGCCTTCAGAGAATGTACTAGATGTATAAAAAAACGATGAATAATAATATAAAAAACACCATATAAGATGCATTCCCCCCTCCCCCCATTTTAGCAGGGAGTATTTAGGAAACTGTTACCAATTACATACTTTTACATTTACTCTTGGATTATGCATCCTTAAAATTATATATACAGTATATGTATATATATATATATATATATATATATATATATATATATATATATATATATATATATATATATATATATATATATATATATATATATATATATATATATATATATATATATATATATATGTCATCTGGCAACCTCTTATACCTGTAGTATGGAGTCAGTGTCTCCTTTTGTTGCTGCCACCATAAAATATACCTTGTCATCATGTACACAGTTGGTCCATCTACGAAGACATTACAATACAGTATTCAACTCTATCTTTTTCTTAACTTGTATCTCATTGCATATTATTTATACTCTGTATTTTATGTTGCAATGAACTCCATCTGAATTTAAAGTTCTCCATTTATGGAAGATATGAGAATTTTTGTTCCATTTATTCCTTAAGTATTTCAATGTCTTTCTAGACTAGAATCTATCACCTACTTAATCTAGGCAGGCATTAATTCTTTAGTTGAGGGAAAATAATCAGACAATTAAATATTAGTAATTTCTAATACTGTACCTTTGTTCATAGAAACACAAAAATACTCATAAATCAGTTTTTTACAGATTTACATGAACTGAGAACAATTATATAGACTTATATATACCTGTATGTATAAGAACTATGTAGACTTATATTAAAGTAGTCTACTTATACACATATACAGTATGTACATATATATACACACACACACTCGGTAAAAAGAAGTACCTTTCAGGAAGGGTTCGATCAATTTGGATGTGAACAATCCTGTTGTTTCACTAGGGTTGGTAGGTGTGATTGTGAGACATTTCCTACCTATTATGGTAGGCCTAATTTAGTTTTTCAGTCGAAATATAAAATTAGTTTGTTGTAATATAATTGGTGAATAACAGTATGCCTCATGAGCCTTTATCAAAAACCTTTGTTCATGGTGTCATTTTGTTTCACACAAGAATTGTAAAGAAATTTTTTTTTTACCGAGTGTACACATTTATAATTTTCAACACACACAAGCATATTAACAGTCATCAAGCAAGGCTGCCCTCTGTCTCTGAGTTGTAGCAACTGCTTACAGCTTGATAAAACTGCAAATCATCATAAAGTGGTAATCTTGTCCAAGAGTGCACAAATTTAGAGAGTATGTACTGTATCAGGACAACTGCCTACAGACAACTGCCCCCCTGGACAATTACCCCCTGGACAGT